TTAGTAAATTAATTTATAGTTTTAACAATATATACATTTTATTTTTCGTTCTTTTTAAACGCTTGTATCAAACTCAAAACAATCCTGCACTACCTATAACACGTAGTATATATATGGTATTTCATATAATGCTCGCCTTTATTTTGTGAAGTAAACCTTAGGAACTATTAGACTTCTTAGCATTTGTGCAAAACATTTGTATTGAAATTTATAATTATATTTTTGAACAGCAACCTCTTATATACACATATTTATGTACATATATTTTTACACGTGTACTTTCGATTTTACTTTCTTCCATGTACCTACTTTCAAATATATATGCATACGTACATAGAACTATACCAATATTGATGTATAATGTATTATATATGCATACCATATATTATATATATTTTTTCTACATACTAATTTGTTGTAGTTTTTTGCGGTTTCTAGCTTCCGTTAAATAAATTTATTGCTCTTGTAAACACTTTGAGTTAATTTGTGTTTTTTTTTTCCCCAGATATTTATACCGCCAAATAATTTGTATTGTTACTGTTGTTATTGTCGGAGCTTAGCCAAAATGAACGATATTTTAATGAGATTTATAGTAGATTTCCAAAAGAAAACATTTCAAATGTCAGACACGGCAATCCGATCAGCGGCAGGCAGTGGCATCGGCCACCAGCCAGCAGGCCAGCAGGCAACCTGGCAGTATGGCAAATAATATACACACATACATACGCACACATAGAAATGTATAGCTGACTAAAGATGAGGGGGGTAGCATTAGTGACTGCCGGTCTAAACATGAATTTAGTGGGTGAAATTGTGGTTGTTGGCTTTTCTTAAACATATGTACAAATATGTATGTATGCATGTGTGTGCGTCTAACTGTGCTTTGACGTGGACAATTGTCTTAATGCCTCCATCGTCCAGTTCAGTTTTGTCACTGAGTCAAAACGGGAAGAATTCAAATTCATTCACGCCAAATACCGAGCGTCCATCACACGCGCCATTTCTCCTGTCGCTGACACAAGTGAAAGCCAAATCCAACGTCGCTTCAGAAGATCCATTGCAATTTATACTAAATAAATATTAATTTTGTGATAGTATAAGCGAAGGCGTTGTCGCATTTAATTTCATTCCTTGCATTTGCGCGTTTGCGGTTTCCAGTGTACGTGTGCGTGTGTGTGTTTATTGCATTTGATCGCCAATAAGTGCCTGACAAGTGCATTTAAAGTGTAACACTTCATTTCGTTTACAGAAGAGAAGCAAATAAAACAAAATCAACACAATGGGCAACTCAACAATGGTAAAGATCAATATATGGCTATACATATGTATAAAGTTATATTATATTTTTGAAAATTAAGAAATGATCTTCAAATTGAAACTTGTAACAGCAAAGTAATTATTTAGTTTAGGGTAAATTTCAAACTTGGTTTTTTTTAGAAGTTTTTAGAAAATAATTTGTTTTCGATTTCCGGGTTGTTGGAATATATACAAGTACTTGATCAGGCTTATGATCTAATTTGTGTTGGAGATTCCATAAGATTTAAGCCGACTACGAAAAGTGGAGGGTTTGGTATCGTGCTCGGGATCTAACATACTCAACACGCTCGTATAGACCACTAACAATCGCCATTGTGCAGTGGAGTGCTGCCGCTACTATTGCTATCTAATTCGTGAATAAATTATTTTAACCATAATGAAGGTTATATATATTTATAGTTATTATATTTCAAACATTTGTTGTTATCACCGTTATAAATAAGCAAAAATCTCTCTCCACTGAATTAAAAACCAAATACCGAGTATTTAAAAGCATTTCAGTTACAGCTTCTTTTACAACATCCCGTCATATGGGCGGTCTCATAATTTCAGAAAATCAATCCTACCTTACTCAGCCCTTCCAACAAAATGAACATTTTTTTTTGCACAAAATCAGTTGTTTGTTATATCGAAAATGTCCACAATAATATTTGGAAATTTTGAATTTATACCGACGGCAGACCCATGCTTTGCTTGTTATCGGTACTTTGTGTAACTAAAAGGGTCCACACGTTAGTATTATTATTCCATAGTATTTGAAATATCAACTGAATTTTGAAAACGTTGAAGTAAAGTTCTCTCGATGAACACAACTAGCTAATCAAACGCCTCTCAATATGCTGAAGCCTAGAGAAAAAGATTCAGTTGAGTCAGGATTTGAATTACGCCTTCGTTACTAATGAGTACTACAAGTTAGAAGATATTGCGCTCGAAAAACGGCATGGACGTCGCTGTCGTGATTTTTTTGTTGTAAGAAACGGTTGAGCAGAGATTTTAAAAGACATTTTAGCAAAGTATATCAGATTTATTTTCTCTGTCCGTTTTTAAACTAGAAAATTTAACTGTGACGACAGAGTGGGACACACATTTATGAACTGTGACCATAACAGGAGTGGTTGAAAGTCGTTCTTTTCCAGCGTAAAAAGTGTATGAAAAATGGAATTAATCGTTGACTCAATTAGATTCGAAATTCCGTGAATATTAAATATTCTCACTCTTCAATCATTAAAATGCATCATTTAGATCGTGTAATTGACAGTTATAGGTGCGGCTCTTCAAGAAAAGAATGTTAAATAATTATTATCTTCTTTTAAAAGCTGAATATACATTTTTGTCGGTTTTACTTCTTTCCGCACGCTTTACTTGCCAACAAAATACCTGTTGATTTCGATTTGGCAACTTTATTCACAAAATCACCCAAATATTAAAAAAAATTTTTATATCAGCGGCAACAGACATGATCACGTATGTATGAATAAAAACTCCTGTAGTCATATGAGATATAATTTAATTTGAGATTTGTATAGGTATAAGTAGATGTTCGTAATATAGTTGTCGCCTTTTCCGAGGTTCGAGGCCACGCGATGAAGGGTGCCTTAGACACATTATAAGTGTTTTCAGCAGAAAGCAGCAATAATTCAATTCAAAATGCAATTTTGTCGAGCGTCAACAAATATGCAAACAAGATTTTCTCACAATTTATATATATATATATATGCATAAGTATGCATGAATCTGTATACATATATAACTAATGTTGTGTGTAAAGACAGTTTTACCTAGACCATAGGCAGCTGACAAACACCTCAAACGAGTAGCCATTAAGAGCAGCCATTAAGAGCAGCTACAAAGTATATGCTTTTTAATATTTTTAAAAGTTTTTATATATATATGTAATGTTTGTATGTGTATGCATGTACTAGTATGCGTGCGTATGTGCAATTTCACAGGTGAATGTATTCAAATGCATTTGTCGGCAAACCACAGCAAAAAACAAGAAACAACTATAAATTGCTGAACAATTTATAAATATAAACATATATGAGCGATTTTTAAAATTAAACGCTTTGAAAAGATTAATTAATTTAAAATATGTTTTCAATGCAATTTTCAATATGCTAAAGACACCTCCCATTGTCCACAAAATTCAAGCATCGTTGCTAATGTGCGGTAAAAATGCAATGTGGCGTGATCACATATGAACATACACATATAATCGTATGTACTTGTATGTGCATACATACATATAACTATACAAATTTGCATGGGCGAGGCACTTAGATATTTAAGAAAGCATTGTTAGTACACATGTTTGCAAAAATTTATGTTGTAGAATTTATTTTCTAAATAAAATTCTATCCTACAGAGCTATATTCGGATCTATATAAATATATGTATGTATGCATATGCATTCGTTGCACGTTACCTTAAGGCTTATTGCAACAACTTTCCTCATATGATGCATTCGACACCGAGCGCATACAAACACTTGCAGGCCTCAAGTGGGTGCAAAGCATTTTATACATATTTATGTATGTATTTTTAATGTCGACATATATACGAGTAAATATGTTTTTAAATACTACAAGTATGTATGTGTACGCATCAGTGCATGTGGCATGTCGCGTCAATTCACTGTTGCGGCAATAAATTTCTAAATATTGCCATTACATATTAGATGGGCATTGCTTGGGCAGCTTAAGAGCCTACTCTGCGGCGCGTGTTGAATGGAACGAAGAACTCTACATATGTATAATTCGCTTTGACATTTACATGGCGCAAATAAATGCGATTCGAGGCGATTTCCAAGGCGCGAATTATGCGTTGAATTGGTGAAAATTCAGTCGGCAGATCTCAGCAGGTGAGGGTAAAAAATGTTTTTGATCCAACGCGTGATTTATTGGCTTTTGCTGAAGTTTGTGGTAAGCTTCTACTTCAAAATGGGAAGAAAGTCTTCATGTCATGCGATTAATTCTGGAGGCCTATAAGGTTTTCACCTACCTCCAAAGAGATATTGAACTTTAAAGAAATACTTAGCAAGCCCAGGTGCATTTCTGTGTACTTAAAAATTAAATGAATTTTTAACATTTTTATAACGCCCTTCTGTGGCTATGTCAGAGTATATTTTTACTATAAATATCGAGGCGCATAAAATTAATTTTTTTTTTTGGTAGTTTCTTTACTATTTTAATTACTTTTTTTTAACATCCGCTAACAGTTAAGCAATATGGTAGCGCCTCTATGACTTCCAAAGAGAGAGTCGATTTTCTGTAATAACCATAAACTCTAAGATGTCTGGGACAACTTCAGAACAAAATTCTTCTTTTTCGCTGAAATTCCTTCTCACTTAATTCGGCTTGAAATCTACATAATAAGCTTGATGCCTTAAAATGTTCAATTAATCACAGTGTCAGATGTATAAAGGCGTACGTTTTCCACTTCATTCTAAAGAATTTTTCTCTAGTTTTGCACGGGGTATGAAATTTGCGAAAAATTGCATTATTTGGCACAAAAGAAATTCTGAGTGCCACTCATATGTGGCAGCGGTGTCTGCTATACCCTTCAACATGCGAATTTTGCATTTTTTCTCAAGCCCCTCTACACTTCCCCGATACATATACAATACATATGTACATATATGCAACGCGCCCTCTGAGAGTGCGTTGACAGCGGCCATTGTAGCCGTTGTCCTATTGCAACTGCTAATGTGCCGTTTACCGCGTTTTGGTCTGCTCAGTCGCAATCGTTGTCGTCGTCGTCGTGGTCGTGGTCGTGGTGTCGTCCTCACACATTTCGCTCCCAGCCGCCAACCGCCAGCCTTTAGCCTGGCCCATGCCGGGCGAGGTTGTGCGACATTAGGCTGGGCCAAGCGGTCATTAGTCGCAAATTATTAACATTATTATGTATTGCATCTTCCAACGCAACGGCAGGAGGCGGTGTATTTTTGGCGTTCAGGTGTTAGCGCGTTGGCGGCAGCAACCACTATGTACTACCACCACTAACTGCTGCACTATAAAGCAGCTATATAATAATTTTGAAAAAAAAACAGCTACTACAACAACAACTTCAATCGCTCTTCTGCTGCTGCTTGGTGTGTCTTCCACACCAACAACATCAATTTGCATAGCATTTAGCGATTTAGCGTTTAGTTGGTTCCAAAGAAAGCGCCGCAAATAACACCTAACCACAAACGCCCCACGATCGGAGCGCCACATTGCCAAACGTACGCGCATTCAACGCAAACACGCTCCGCGCCACAATACTACTTGTACAAGTTTGCAATCACAATTTATTGCATTGTCCTTAGCGAGTTGTCACTGTCGTAGCCGCTGTTGTGTGTCTTGTCGTGCCGTGTCGTGTTCCCACGTCTTGTGTCGTCTCGTGTGGTCCTTATTTGTGAATTTATCTTCAATTTCACACGCTTGTTTTTTATTTAATTGAGAAGGCAGCAACATGAGTGTGAGTATCCTGGCAGGATATACCGAAATATTGCGAAGAACATATTAGGCGAATAAATAATCTTTTAGACTTTAGTGAACCAAAAATATTTGTTTAAATAATAAAATTTTAAAATAAAATTTTTTATGAAAAAAAAATTGAAATGTAAATTATCTTTAGCAAACCATTAATTTTCGTTTATAGTCAATTATTCATTTTTCGGATTAGTCGTCAGTAATAATCGTTAAAATTTACAACTCAAGCACTTTGCTAATTTTGAGAATTTGTTTTAGTGCGAAATTTTGTGAAAAATTTATATTATGCACCTACTACATGAAAATTTTCACAAAAAAAATGTTTATTCTTTAAACGGTGCAATAAAAGTTTTTGTGGTACAAATTCTCCAAAAAGATAATGTAAAGAGTGGAGAATATACGAAAAATTATGAATTCACTATAATACAATAGACGTTTTTAGCTCTACACTTTTTATTCATAATAACGATTACCAGGTCGCAGCTAATTATCATAAATCTGAACAATCATTTGTGTACATTCAACGCTGTAGAATAGCGATTTAGTCGATCATGGTCCACCTGAAGCCAAAATTTATTACTTTAAATTATTTCCGTGGAATATTTGATTACTTACATAGAGAGTTATATTGTCATTTTATATATTTGGAAGGAACCCGCGAACTTCTTATTCAAAATTTACGTTTAAGAAGTAAGCAACAAATGGTAACAGCTCAAATTTTTTTACTGAAATTAAGATACGCTTATATGTTCTAAATATAAACTAAATAGAGCTATAGGGCTTATTTCGACATATCTCAACTGAAGCGTCATCTACCGGCCCATTTGGTTTTTGATTGCACGTTATGCTAATAATTTTATGCGTCTCAGTATTGTGCGGATATCTATGATTTATATACACACGGCTAACTTACTATACAATATATAAATACTATAAATATCATGAGACCTTTATTTTTGTGTGAGATTACAAGTAGTTCCATATTGAGAGGATTAAAAGGGATAATAAAAGTGGGGACTTCATTGTAAAGATATAATAATTTAAAAATCAAACACGAAATTTACATAATTTGTGTATAATTAAAATCGAAAAGACCTGTTGTAAGAAATTTTTAATTAGAACGACCCAACATTGCAAGTAGTCCCTGCAAATATTTTAATTAAATATGTTTCACTGTTTTCTTGAAGGATATAGGAAATGTTTCATTTGTCAAAAGGTTTACAAAAAACGCAACAGCAAGTTTAGTAGATTTATTATCACAAATAACATTTCAAAGTAAAATTTATGCAAAATTTTTATAGTCCATCTACCGAAGAGTTTGTTTTTTACTTTTGTACAGAAGAACTTTATCAGGAGCACATGGTGATATAGATAGGACATAATGGAGTGAGACGATTTTGGTCCCTGTGCTTTCACAATGTGCCTCTACCTCTCTCTACCTGCCTACCTACTGAAGACTTTCAAGTAGTTTTTTTTTATTGAATCTGTAATTACATGATTGCCTTAGTATAATGGTCAGAGGTATGCTTTGCAGAAATTGAGATCGGGCGCGGACCCCAAGCACTGATAAAGCAGAACAGTTATATATATTCCTTTATATTTTATTTAATATTTAAGAAAAAAGTTGTTGTCCCATAACGAACAAGTAAAGTTAAATACCAAAAATATTTTCCTTCCAATAAGATGAAAACCTTTTTTTTTTTGCATTTCACTTGAAAATAAACCTTATATAGTTTCGATTGTGTTTCAAGCACACATGCAGCCACTCTACTAAAAAAATTATATGGAATTACTATCGAAAAGTACAAGATAGTGTCTATTTATTTGTTCATAATCGTGTTAACTCTTCATCGAAACCTTCAAAAACTGATTATTTACTCATCAAAAATTTACAATTTAACGAAAATGCCGTACTTAGTTTTTATAGTAAACTTTTTAAATATTTACTGATCCCCATTGCAATCACCTCTAATCATTCCAAAACTAATAAAATATAATTTTCTTCATTTCAGGACGAACTCTCCAAAGACCAGATCGAGCGTAAGTATCGCCCTTGTGTAGCTGAGAAGTCCACATAGACATGTACTTTACGTACACACCACTCATGCGCCGCAGTCATAATGTTAAGCCATAGCTTTAAGCATTTCAAAATATCAACACCTGTTTAAAAAAGTGCAGTCAATTCAAAAGACATAGCATAATTTCAAATACCCACACATTGCATGGCCTCGACTGTTTTGTTTGTCAAACGCTATTTTATTATGCTGGTGCGCTGGCGCCGCGCTTTTGAATCGCGATAATGGCAAACAAGTAGCGCATAATCTTAAAGTGACTGACAAAACTGCCAACACACGCGATCATTGCAATATTCAATATTTCCGCCTAGGTTGCACGAGGTGGGTTGGCAGTAAACAGTCACCGACACCGCATGACGTTTGCCACATGCCACAAAATGTGTCAGTAAACGCCTACGCACGTGATTAGAAAATTTTTATGATGAAAGCTCAACCGAAAGTGCGCTCTCACAAAAGCATAGGCAAAGCCAATATTGGAAAGGAAAATATAAATGTATTTGTACTCTGTTTATTGGTGGCTCCATGCTGCGTTTGCATAGAAAAAATAAATAAATTTACATGCAAATATGGTACTTAGCGATTGTTGAGAAGTAGTTCGGGGTTTGATACGTTTAACTAGTTGCAAATGCAATGTGTGCATTATTTGTTTAGGCATTGCGTGTCTGACGGTTTTCATTTGCATATATACATACACATGTGCATATTATATATTATATAAATAGCTTTACAGCCATCAAAAGTAGACTTTCAAATTTATGTCATAGCATTAAGCTTTTAGTTCTCGCCCCAATGAATATGTTAAGACAACATTATACAGCTAATGGTCATAGCCTATAAAGCTACCTAAATCATTATAATTATGTTATAGAATTTCTTAAAGGAAATTTATTGACATAATATGCACAAAGTTAATGCTTTTATTTGTTGAAAGTATTATTTGAATATATATGTATGTTAGGTATAATTGTTTTTCTTTCGCTTCCTACTACTTTTTCTGTTTTAGGAAAGCTTGAAAAATATGAAGTGTTTTTTAAATATGGAATTTTCTAGAGGAATAACAGCGGAAACAGATGTTTCTATCGTCAAAATATAATATCCATGATCTCTGTCATAGATTTCAGCCCGATTCAGCCATACTGTTAAACCAGCTGTCAAAATCAGAGCATATATCTGATATATATATGGTAGTATATACATATACTCAGTATATTTTAGAAAATCATCATGTTGGGACATTCACCAGAACAACCTCTAAAATCACGGAATTTTATTATCTCCGTGCGGCATATCCAATATTTATATTTTTACCCTCAAATCATATTCAGCAATGATACACATTTCTTCGCTCATTATAAAAATCGCCATTATCGAAATGCTAATCATCCCGAAACGACTTTTTAGGCTCTCTTGCAGTGATAAAAGATTACTCTCTGGTGTGACTTGATTCCCGAAGCCACATAAAAATTATATAATGTTCATCGTCAATAATAAGAAGATAGGTCTCATAGTTCAGGAATCGACAGATTAATTAATTACCTCCCAAGGTCATGTAATTCGACTCCGTTAGAGAGTTATATTTGTAAACTACGTCAATCCAAGAGCTTAGGCTTAATTGGAAACCAACATCAAGAGACAAAGTCGGTTATACTTGAAAAAGTGGTACAAACGGGATAGTATCCATAAGACAAGGTCCCGGTGCCCAAATAACGGAAATTCTGCTCAAATAGAAAAGACCATGAAATTTTCGAAATAAAATATTTCTTTCTGTATTAGTTAAAATACGTTTTGAAGACTTCAGCAAAAAATTGTGCATTGCAACTAACCTCCTATTTTATTGGCTCGAAAATTTGTTACTGAGATTTAATAGTAGGTTTCGAAAGATCGTCAATAAATCATTAGATATTAAAACCGATCTGGATATTAAGTACAAGTTATAGGCACTACCTTTACGTTTAGCTGTACTATTACGCTATTAGATTATTGGTAAAAAAATGAGTTCCAATACGGATTGGAATACACATATGTAGATAAGGGTTTTGTGAAACATATTGGTATATTTTTTGTGTTAGAAAGGATCTTAAGAATGTAACTTAGTTTTAAAACAAAACATCTCTCATCTCTCAGTGCTTCCTCCACAGCCTTTAGCTATCCCATACTATACTTAAACCACCTACTCCTATCTTCCCACAGTCTTGCGAAATGCGTTCAACGCATTCGATGCCGAAAAGAATGGCTACATCAACACCACCATGGTGGGCACCATTCTAAGCATGTTGGGCCATCAATTGGACGATGCTATGTTGGCTGAAATTATCGCCGAAGTCGATGAGGATGGTTCGGGACAAATTGAGTTCGAAGAATTCACCACATTGGCGGCGCGTTTCCTCGTTGAGGAGGACGCCGAAGCGATGCAAGCCGAACTAAAAGAGGCATTCCGTTTGTACGATAAGGAGGGTAACGGTTACATCACCACCGGTGTGCTGCGCGAAATTCTCCGTGAATTGGATGATAAATTGACCAATGACGATTTGGACATGATGATTGAGGAAATCGATTCTGATGGCTCAGGAACGGTTGATTTCGATGGTGAGTTTACAACGAACACGAATGGCAATTCATAGTTTGTCTTTCGATAATGAGTTAAGAATTTATTAAAAAATAAAATTTTTATTCTTGCTATAGAATTCATGGAGGTCATGACCGGCGAGTAAGCGGTAAATACTACGCAGACGCTGTACCATTTAGGTATATGGTCGCAAATCTTTACCTACAGAATATGTAGTATTTTACAAAAACAAAAATGCCAACTACTTGTACAATGGAACAACACATTGACACACAAACACACTCTCGTCAACATAATTATTTTGTTATAATTTTTGTTAAAATATTCAAAATATATATATATATTTAAATCAACAAAAGAAAAGCAATCATTTAAAATCAAGTCCATTTAAGTTATTGTTTAATAAAACAAGTACATATATATACAATACAACTAAACTGTTTCGTCCTTATATTATAGAAAAATTGTTAATTATATTAAAGTTTTCGTCCAAACAATCAAACCAACTTTGTATGTACACATTGCATACTAAGTCGAGGGCTTGTGATTCAACACCCAATTTTCACATAAGTCATGTACATGAATAAAAGTAACATGCATGCATTATAAATACAAACATTTTTATTGTTTTTGTTTTACAATTTAATCGTTTTCGTTAATGAAAATAAAATTATTAAAAATAGTTAATCAACTGCGTAGTCGCATTGTCTGCGCACAATTGCTTACTGTGTTGTGCGCCATGCGATGTATAACTCTGACGCGGGTTAACAAGTTTATAAACAGTTATTGTTAAATAAATAAATTTATAAAATTATATATATTAATCAAATTAAAGTTAAATTAAATATAAATTTAATTTTTACGCAATGCTCGTCGTAATTGAACCAAACAAGAAAGAAAGTCTATTAAGCTTAAACTAAGTTTTACAACAACGCGTATATATATTTACGTATATGCATTTTAATACATACTTCTACATTTATGTAAACAAAAAAATTGTTCATTCAAAAAAGTTGCAAAATTATTGTTAAATAATTTGTTTTTCTGTTTAATTGTTATTGTTGTTATATAAAAGAAAATATTAGCCATTGTTCAATTGTTCGTGAAATTTTATTATTATTATTATTATTATTATTATTATTATTACATTTACTATTATATTATGCAATATGTATGTATATGCCAATACACTTAGAGGAAATATATACATATGAATGAAGTAAATACTCATGTAAAAACACATTTACTACAAAACATACACTTAAATCGCAAGGATATGCCGTTATTGATACAAAAGTTTCCTATAAAACACTTTTTTTTTTATTAATTTAAGCTTTAAACTACACGTCATTTAATGAAAACATACTTGACTTCAAAAATTTCAAATAAAACCACAATAAAAGCAAATTTACAAAAATTAAATCGAAAAAAAAGTAAAACAATTTCAATTACCTCGAATTACAACAACAAGGCAACAAACAACAATTGTTTTATAAACAAATAAAAGCTGTAAACAAAATAAGCGCAGCTTATAAATGAAACAACAAAACCAATGAACCATGAATGTCAACAACAACAACAACGAATTTTAGAAACATAAAAACAAAGTTAAAAAACTAAATTCAAATTTACACAAGTGAAAAGATAAAAAAACATTTCACAAAAAAATAATGAAAATTGTACAATATGTATTCACTGGCTGTTTTGGGAATTCAGTTTATTTCGAACTCAAAAGAATGGTTACAAAAATTAAGTAAATAAATGCGATTTTAAATAAAATCTGGTAAAACTAAAATTGTAAGTGCTTTGGCACCTAATTGTTTGATTTTTGAAATCTGCATGAGAAAAATGGATATTAATATGATCGAAGCTAAGATTCCAGAAGAAATATAGAAAATATATGACGCGAAAGCTGTCATTAGACGAAAGCTTTCATGTAAACGTATACATTTTTGAAGCTCATACATTCAGTATCTTTCCAGAGATAGTGCTAATCCAAAACCGTACTTTCCAAAAATTTTCGCAGAAGCCGAAGTGTGTCTATATGTTTCATTTTTAAGAATTGGTCATACATTACTTTTCATCAAAAATAGTGAAACGTAATGGCAGGAATTTTTTTCGAGGTAATAATAATATTATGTAATACGGATAGAATATTTCTTTGAGAATTTCATTGAGTGGCCTGCTCTGAACAATTTGTTCGGAGATTGCACCGTGGCTTTTTTGAATTTTTGAAGATATTATATTTTGTCAAATAAAAAGTTTTTCGTACAAAGACTTGATTTATATTGGTCAGTTTGTATGGTAGCTATATGCTACAGATGGCGGTTCTGACAAATAGGCAGCTTTTTGAGTAGAAAAGGACGCAAACCTCCGTTTTTGAGATATTATCGTATAAAATATCAGAGCAATTTCTCAAAAACGGAGGAACTAGTTTGCGTACATACAACGTTACGGACATGACTAAGTCGACTCAGCTCATTAGGTTGATGATATATATAAATATCTTTACTTCATGAGTATCCGACGTAAAAATACCACTTCGGATTACGAACCAATAGTGACTCTGTCAGCCAAGTACTTTTTTAAAATTTAAAAACTGACATTTTTATCGGCTGACCTGGACATTATTTTTATAGACAGCGCTAATAGATGACCTTACTTGAAAAAAGATTCAAGTTTACCAATTTTAAACTGATTTTGAAGTGCTGGAGAAATTTTATCAAATTCACATGTTTGTTCGAATTTGTTAGAAATAGACGAAAAGAAAGCATATATAGAAGTGGGAATAGAAATAGAAATATAATAGATGTGGTTGCCGAGAGACAATCAAATAATCCAGTGATAGCTCGAACCACTATACTGAAAGCTATGGAGTTTCTTATTCCAATTAGTACGATCCTTTATCTACAAGACATAGAGAAAGATCTATAAATTTTATAATCAAAATTGCCAAAACTATTTTTTTCATTCTCCATCTTTAATATTCCACTAATGGTATATATATTTTGTTTAATTACTACGCCACGCCCATTTGCTATATTAGCTCCAATTTAAAATAAGAATATTAAAAGTCTAAATGATCAATTTTTTCCGCCTATGTCAAATATTTTGCGGATAGAAAGAATACCTTTAAGAGTGTAGGCATATTTTATTAATGTTGTTGCAACATGTTGCCAATTTCTTGATGGCTGGCCATAACAACATAGCAGTGCGACATTTTTCCACTAATGGGCCTTGCAGCAGTGATTTATATTCTTTCTGCTTTATTAGCTGCGAATATCCAAAGGCATACACATAACAAACATACACACCCACATATATATAAGTAAATGTGCATATGTATGCACCAAATACATGACTACAATCACACATGCGTACAGAACGCAAGTGCATTTATTTGATTGCAGTGCGAAGAATATTGCTTGCGGCCAAAATTCAGTGACGCGCGAGTGCAACGTTGCTATTTGGTAGTGCTTGCTGCAGAACGCTTTGTGGCATTCACATCTCTTCGATTTCCGCCACTATTGCTGTTGGTGAATGTGAGGTAGTCTTCGCTTAACTGGCGTGGCAACATCATAAATATTTTTTATGAGTATTTTAATTTAGGCAAACGGCATGACAAATTGCCGACGATCACTTGGCGTTTCCAATATGCCATGCCGGAACTTATATACGAAGAATATGCAAATTTTTCTTATAATTGTATACATATGCACATATAGTTTCTTTACTAAAGTCTAGCAGATTAGCCTTATCCTAATTTATTTGATTTTTGTATAGCTGTAGAAATAGAGGAAGCGCTTAAAGAGGTATTGAACTGTCTACGTCAAAGCGTGAAGCTCTTTCCAACGAAGTGTTTTAAGAGGTTTCTTACTACCCAGTACATCCATTCTTCTTTCGTTATTTGATTTATAAATGGAAAATTCGACAAAGTGAAAAGTCTCTGCTGAGGTAAATGAGTCTTAAAATGAAATAAAATGATTAAGTTGAACGAAATTCTTTTTTCACCAACATAAAGCTTCAAAAGATCGCATTAAAAAGCATATATGCCTAGCTCATTAAAATCCAAAATGCCTGCCCGATAAAAATTCGAGCCGCATTAGTCCCTTACAACTTCGGTAGGTAATATTATTCCGACATTCAATACACTATAATGCCACATCAGACAAAAACCACGCCTACTTTCCATATAACACAATTTTAAATTCCGTCTGATTCTTTCACTTTCCAGTATAGAAATCAAGAACCAATCAATGTAACGGGATATAAAACTTTGCACAAAGGTGTGGCTTTGAGGTGTGCCACCTTACGACCATTATGATTGACCAAGTAGAACCAAAGCTATTCAAGCCCGGAGATACCAAATATGTGGACGCCAGTTCCTATTGCGAGCTTTTTACCGAAAATATCGGTCAACCTGTCAGATATATTATTAAAACTCGAAAAGAATTTTTTTAGGCTTTGATGAAGCAAACTTCTTCTGGCGATTTTTACCATGGAGAAAAAATTATAAAACCCGTTTCTTTGAAATGTTGTGTATCCAATCCAGAAGTGATTTGGTGAGTCTACTTTATCACGAACACAAGTATTTGAGTGGCACAAAGCATACATTGCAGGTCATGAAATCATCAAAAATTCCACCTATTTTAATAACGATTACATCGAAAGAAACAATGCTTGCAAATCATCATGTTGCCATCAGAGAGATAATCGAAAATCTCAACATATGCGAGTATTATAGTTAATGTTTTGGATATGAAGCGCGTCATTGCTATACTCGTATCAAAAGACCAGAAAGAAGGACGCCGAGTAGAGAACGCAAAAGAGATACTTGACAACGCAGCTGAGGACCCTACATTCATCAAACTCGACATTGCTGGTGACGAGACAGTGGTGTCCAATAATGTAGCGAATGAAGCTCCATAAATGCGCTTTTATGTCAGTCCGGGTAAATTTTGATCAGGTGGTATTTGTAGGGATTTTCAACGCTGAAGTACTCAAGAGAAAAAAGAAATAGTTGAAAATGTTTTAACAGAATGCAGCTTTTATTATTATTGTTATTTGTTTATTTTAGCAGGTATTTACCATAAACTACGAAAGTAACATTTAAATCATAACTGCGTTGAGTTGTCAATTGCACAGTAGCAAAACTCCAACTAGGTCCACCAGCAACTAAGGTATTAGCTGGACCGTTGCTATTTTTAAATTCATCGTCCAGACGAATAGAGCTAATTACCAGGTTATTACTTTAGTAATACAAGTACACATTTTAGAACTCTGAAGGCCGATACTTATATATTATATTAAAGTAGTATCAAAGCATGTTCTCTAATAGTAGTCGGCTCTTAGAAAACTACACGCGAATTTCTGCGCTTGAATAAACCTATCATAAGAAACTAATCGCCGGTTGGAATTGGTCCCTATACTATAATATGTTGTGAGAGTTTTCACAGATTTCGATAACATTTTGACAAATTGTTGCTTGTATTTGTGATAATTTACTCATAATCTGGATATGTATCATAAGGATCGATTTTCGTTAAAGCCGTATTTATGACCGATTTTGATCGCCGAAGAAAATAATAGTGACAAGAGTGAAGTATACTCACAAAATTTTATGTATTCGATTTATTTCCAAATATTTATGGTTCAATTGGGCTTATAATCGATATTAAATTGGTAAAAGGAAGAAAATTGAAAACTACCTCCATAGTTGGGGCCACATAATAATTATTGTCCAAACTGATATTCATAAATATATGATAATGTTTAATAATCATGATTATAATAGTTATAATGTAATATTTTATAAAAAAATCGTCAAAATATCGGGCGAACAACACGAATGATAAATAAACAACAAAGCCTTCTTTTTAGTAATACTATCAACGTGGGAAATTTTCTGCAACAAAAAATATATATTTGTCATAGAGTCTTACAAAAAATGTTTACTAAAGATTTTTGAATATTTGAAGTTTATAAAATTTCTTCAAAAAAGCATCAGTTTGGCGTTCAAGCTCAACCAATTCTCATGTTTAATTCTCTATGAAGTTTAAAGTATCTTAAATTGCTATACATCCTTGTTATTCCTTTTATATGAATTGTTGTCTGTTCGATTCGCCGCTCTCTAAGCAATGGTGAATTGAATCAGTTCTCTTCAGGTACACACGCTGTACTAGAAGAGGAGGCACCATGAGTTAGATATTCTTCTATTATTATTTGATTAACAGGCTTATATTGTCTTCAATTACATATAACATAGTCTTGAAGTATAATTATTTTTGTTATGTACATAAAGTTATTTAAAATGCTCGTTATTAATATTTAAAGAGAAATTTGAATCATAGCTTTATCATTATATGAATCTTAATATAACTATATTCCTGCGGTTTCTTTCAAAATTTTCACGTTTATTTAAAAAAAAATCTTTTCAATAGTTTTATTCAAAGTATTGCCCATCGGAAGCTTGAAAATTTCCCAATTTTTTTGCAATTTCTGAATTCCATGTCAAAATTGCCGGCAAAAGTAAATCAAGCTTATATTCGATACAATTCTGATGTGAACCGTTTTGCAGTAAGACTGGCCTCAGAAGGTAGTCAAAAGTGACTGGATTTTAAAGCGGGTGAGGCAAAACTTCCAAGCCACTGTTTTCCAAATAGTTTTTAACCGGTCTTGCAGAGCTTGAGATCTATCTTTGTCATGATGGAGAACTATTGCATTATTGGTTTTACTTTGTTTCACAAACACATATTACAGCATGGCCTTCGTATTCCTACCAAATACTAAGGTAAT